TACTGATTTATTAGTAATATCTAGACTCCACTCAAATACGAAAAATAAGACACTCAGTCGATTGTTATAGCAAATATACGTTGGCTTCATCGACATCCCACCAAAGAATATGATATAGCAAAAGGCCTGGACTTCCTTGAAATTCACATCTACCCTGTGACTTAAAGGCACTCGTGAAAATGTTGTCGAGTGGTTAACATGCCAACATCCAATTCTGCACTTTCACGGTTCGACTCTCGCTGGGGATGTTGATAAGACCGATACGAGGTCGAAACTGCAGTCCAGCCTGGATGAGAAGAACTTTTGTGAAATTCAATGGAAACGTCACCTTTACTCATCTCATTGTTGGAAACTTCTACTGCCAGTCCTTCAACAGCTTAAACGAAATAGGGTAAATACATCTCATACTTTGTATTTTTCATACCAATGAAGTTTCAGCAGTGGAATCAACAGGATACCCAAAATTTAATTTCGAAGTATTCAAGCTTTTATTATTAAAATTTATACGAACTATATTTGATTTTGAAACTTTTCTGTGCTTATTATCCAAATATACAAGAAGCAAACATTAACGTCAGCACAAAGGTGTAATTGAGACGCAAGACTAAATTGGTTAACTTGGAGAACAACAAACAGATTGAGTGGCTGCAAAGGATAAGCGATAACAGAGTTACCTCATCGGCTGAGACCTTAACAGACAACCTATGGAATTAGCTCATGCCTATCCAAGATGAACTGGTATGCTTGCTCAGAAAAACGGAAAAATGATAAAGTTTAAACTAGCATTCAAGTTTTAAATGACTTAATCCTCCGGATAACGTTAAGCCAGCTCTAGCGACTAAACATGTTCACTAAAAAGGAGATTTTGCAGTTGGAAATAACCTGAAAAAAGTATTTTAACCTACCATTTGTTCTATATCATGCAAGTGATATAAGCAACCTTAAACCGATTATTATAAAGTATTGTAAAATAGCATTAAAATGGTAGAGGTTGTTTCCTCTTGTTTTCGCAACTTGGTCATATTGGTAGGAAGACCTAGAGAAACACACTTAGTCCGGAGTCCATTGTATGCATGATCATTTCCAGAGTAGGACCGTGGACGTTGTACATTCCCAAAAGTTTCGCCGGCATCGTCAGTGAGACTCGCTATTCTTAGCACCACACAAAAACTCGTCAGAGACAAGTGAAGCCGATCCTTTGACCAAACGTGTGTTAAACAGTTGTGGTGTCTCCCCTTCTGCCCTGGGCTATTCACATTTCCTATATCCTCCTATTATACCTTCACTGTTACAATTTTTACCGTGCTTATTTCGATGTAATGTGGTGTGCCCTGTTGAGCGGCATTCATGAGAACCCTCCACACTCCACCCAACTTCACCCTTGTGCTGGGAATGTTGACCAGAGTCTGCCACATTGTTACGCAGTCCTCCTTCCCTACGTTTTATCAAAGTCTCTCTCTTGCCCAGTAGGATCCATCTGCTCTCCCCCTGATTCACGTATTTCACTCGACCTCTGCCACCCATCTGTGCTACTCGAGGCGTTATTCACTGTCCCCTGTGTCCAGGTGACTAATTCGAGGCCCAAGCCTCTGAGTAAGTCTCATCGCCAAGCCTATGCTACATGAACCAGGTCTCCGATTAGACCTCCTGTCAGCCAAATAGCTCCAGTCTCCGCCGAGTCTATCCTGTTTCTATCCCTAATACCAAGTATTTGATGTGCTATGCCCCAGTCTCTTCCGTGTCAACCTATAAATGTTTTAATAATGCTTGCTTTGATTTGGTTCAACGTTAAACCACAACGTTTGTGGGTTGGCACTATATAGCACAAGTTTGGTCGAAGGATCGGCTTCATTTGTCTCTTTGACGAGTGGTTGTGTGGTGCTAAGAATGGCGAGACTCCGTGACGAATCTGACTACGATGCCGGCTAAACGTCTGGGAATGTACCACGTCCACGGTCCTACTCTGGAAGTTATCATGCATACAATGGACTCCGGACTAGGTGTGTTACTCTAAGTCCTTTTACCAATATGACCAAGTTGCGAAAACAAAGTCAAACAACCTCTATACAACAAAGGGAGACTGCGACCACACAAAAGGCCAGACCATCTTGATCTTCATACCTTCGATAAAAATGATAAGTTCATTTATTACACAGAGCAAAGTAAGATGGCAAGCTCTCATAATAGGTTGGTGAGATTCAACAGCACCATTTAGGACAAGAAGATTAAATCGTCACAATAAATAGGATTGAATGCGCTCTAAATTTGATCTATTTACAGAATAAAAATGATAAAGTAATTTGGCTGAAACTGTTATTATTATTATAAAGAAGTTTTTAGAGAACCAAAACTGGTATCTGCATGCTAGTCAAAATAAACTGTACAATGAGACAGAAAGTTCGAATCGTATTTATCCTAACAGTCTCAAGGATATGTTTCAATGATTAACTAATACCCCACAGAATATTTTTATCACACCGGTAACAAATAAGCACTGATTGATATGTAAATATTAGATATCTTTGCAACTCTCCAACTTAGCTGCATTTCGACCCAAGCTTTCCTACTTAGGTCGGAAGAACTACCCGATGATCTCAACCTGATCGTTAAAAATAAAATAATGGAACATATAGTCTGAATGCGAACTAGAGTGAGCAGAATTTTGACAAAATGTATTATTTTGATTAAAATAGGCCTAAACTCGTGCATGAATTGAGAAAGACATTGTTAACCTATAAACTGTACTCTTCAAAAGAGTAGGGCGTTGAAATCATGATCTTCGTGACTTTGCGGACACTAATTAACTTCTGAATTCTTCTGAATATGAGCAGTAGGCAGCAAACAGCTTTGAAGTCTTCTAGTGATATTCCTTCAGGACGGACAATATTGCATTTTTTCAAAGTGAAGCAGTCAAGTCGAGTTATCAAAGTTCTTTAAGCAGCCCTAAACGACGAAATCTTGGTTGGATCCTCCTACAGCCATGCACGCCTTTTTTATGTTTTGTCATCTGCATATCCGAGTGTGGACCACAAACTCTGTTGTTCTTGAATCCTGCTGATGACCACATACCTCTTGCTGTCGGTCCAGAAGCGGAAATAGGAAGATATAAATTGAAAACTTTGAAGCGCTCATTGTAAAAGGCTAGTACCACAACACTCTCCGATTCATGTAGCCAGAGCTCGGCTGGTTCCGTTTCAAAGCAGTAGTTGACCAGACGGAATCCATCCGCTATACGGTATACCTGAAGACAGCGAGCCGGCATGCCGGCAAAGTCGAGCGTCGAGGAACTAAAAGCCAGACTATTTTCTGGTTGATGTGGTGACTCGCTTTGAATGGTGCCCAAAGAATTAGCTGAAGGACATTTAAGGGAGGTTTTACTTTTATGTGAACTCTTGGATATAGCTTTTTGGAATGATTCAGTTTCATCAGCTTCCGTAAGAAACCAGTTTTGATTTTGAAGTTTAGTTTTCGCTGACTTCATTAAGGGTGAGTGCTTAGCATCAATAGTCTGGCTTTTTCCAGGGGCGTTAGCACTAACAACAGTAGTAACAACGCGAGTTGTATGAAAAGAGCCAACTTGGTTGTTCGATTCGCAGGTCGGAGTCTGATATCCTGGAATGCGAACAATCTTGTCGGGAATATGACGCTGACCGATTAGTAGCTGTCCATGACAAGTGAGTCGAAGGCCCATCAAGAAAACAGGGGCATATGGGACCAGAGACTTGCCGAAGGATAGGCTACTATGGTGTTTGTTATGGCTTTTATGAGAGAGACCAGTATCGCAACTTTGTTTATAATCATGGCCATGCGCAATACTCTCGTTAAGGATGTCTGTATTACAGGGTACGACTTCATATCGACATATTTGTTCTTCTGTCTTCGCTTTTTTTCTTATGTCGGCTTCAATCAGCTTAAGAGCCTCAAGACTAGCCTTTATATTGAACTGAACCCCATAACTGCCTCCTATGCCGGCAGTGCATTCGAAAAGGCCAGGCATAACTAATCCTGAATTCAAGTCGATTCGAGAGAGGCGATAGTTGATCACGCTGCTGCCATCTTCTGTCAACAACAAGTTTGGCCCATAGTCTAAAAAAATGACACGAACCAGCTTTGGCAAGCTACGCTCATTAGCCTGAATATCTTCCTTCTCCAATGCATTCATTTTCGCAGATAGCACATGGCCTCTGACTTCATGGTTACCCTTGCTCTTAGACAAAGCAAGGTCAATTACGATGAGAAAGCCTAGCCAGATTACGAGCCGCCCATCAGGACGGGTAACCGTTGCCATGCTGGAATGTGACTCAGTAAAGCCGATCAACAAGTGATCGTCTTTTTTACCGGATCCTCGTTCAACTTGAGCCAGTCTAAATGGTAGTTCCAACCTGCGCCCTAGGTCGAGCTGATGAGCCAACCTGACTGCCAGAGCAAATACATCAGACAAATCAATCTTATGACAACAAGATGAATCTAATTCTGGATATCGTTTAGAGGGTCTTGCGCATTTTGTAAAGCTACTATCGGGTATGGTTGACCAGAGCGGGGGCAGATCAGCGAATAAGATTGACCTTGCATCAAGCAGCAGAGCGAAACCATAGGGATCAAAGGATATGCGGATCAGAAGTCCGTAATCCGAATGTAGAAAACCATACCAGACAGCACTCCCATGAGGTGATGGTATTATGTGAGTAGACATAGATGGATGGAGCTGTTGGAGTAGTAATGGATCCCAAAAATGACAAATTGCAGGTGGGTTATGCGTGGATGCAGGAGCAAGGGATGGTGATGGAAAGCGAATGAGCCAGTATCCTTTATTAGCAAATGCGGCCAGATAAATGGGACCCGCATCACTTGGTGGAACCACTTCTGTTTGGAAGGAAGCTTCCTCGTGTCTGACTCCGACAATTCTTCCCGCAAATGACGATGAGCTTGAACCCTCTGACCGGCCACACAAAGCTAAGTGGATGACTTGAAGGCTAAAAAGACCCCCAGCTAGATGAAACAAGGCGTTAACCTTGGCCTGGGACATACAAAAGCACCCAGTTTCAGCTGGGCAGCAGGCGGATGAAAACAAGTCACAGTCGACGCGGAGCCGATTGGTCCTGCTCTTGTCAACACGAGGCAACCAATCAGGTGAGCTAGAGTTGTTGGGATTGTCGATGTCATAATCGGCTGGAAAGTCAGACCGCAAACTAGAAGCATTGCCGAGACGGGCGAATGGAAGCTTTGGAGAATCGTTGAGTGAGATAGCATCGCCGGTAGTGGCGAGTCTAATATGCTTTAGAGAACTGAATGAGGAAGAGGAAGAGAAAGAGGAAGAGGAATGTTCAGAGGGAGATGGAAGTGGTGTCAAAGAAGAAAATGAAGCCGACCTTTTAGGCAAGTTTATTTGCTGGACATGATGAATTCGATGCCTACTAGCAGGTCGAGCCGATCTAACTGGCTTACTGAAGGTCAGTTTGCAATCTTCAAGTCCATTTACTTGGATGAGCCAGACATGCAAAAGGCCTGAAGACCAATTAATCTCATTCGAACCAGGAAGGCCAGACGGGCCTTCATCATCAAGGTCGAAGAGTTGGATATTTGATACTGAAGAGA